GCCCGGATCACCGACTCAGGGGGAAGCAGACGCCACCTGGCGCGCGCAAGAGGGCCAGGGGCGTCTCGAGCATCTCGCCGTGGGACCCGAACTGCCTGTCGGCGCAGGACAGGTTCCCCGATCTGGTGGGGCGCGAGCTCGTCGACAAGATCCGCGAGGTCTACGTGCTGCGCACCGGCCTGGTGGCCCCGTTCTTCGATCCAGAGACCAAGCGCAGGCCCCTGGTCCGCCACGAGCTCAACGATCGGAACCAGGCGGACACGAGGAGGCGGTATAAGGAGCTCATCAAGGCAGGCGACGGCAGCCAACTGGAGGAGGGGTAGGAGGAGGACGAGGAGGAGGAGGAGGAGGAGGAGGAGGAGGGGAAGGAGGAGGTGGAGGAGGAGGAGGAGGAGGTGGAGGAGGAGGAAGAGGAGGAAGGAGGAAGATGAGGAGGAGGAGGAGGAAGAGGTTGCTGGGAATGCGCAACATGGCCCTAACCACGTTGAAACATGGGGGAGGCCTCCAGGGAGCCCCCCCGAAGGAGGAGCAGATCCGCTGCACTTAAGGGCCCCTTAAGTGCAGCGGGCTGTCTTGGCCTCCGGGAGCCCCCCCGAAGGAGGAGCAGATCCGCTGTACTTAAGGGCCCCTTAAGTGCAGCGGGCTGTCTAGGCCTCCGGGAGCCCCCCCCGAAGGAGGAGCAGATCCGCTGCACTGCAGCGGGCTGTCTTGGCCTCCGGGAGCCCCCCCGACGGAGGAGCAGATCCGCTGCACTTAAGGGCCCCTTAAGTGCAGCGGGCTGTCTTGGCCTCCGGGAGCTCCCCCGAAGGAGGAGCAGATCCGCTGCACTTAAGGGCCCCGTAAGTGCAGCGGGCTGTCTTGGCCTCCAGGAGCCCCCCCGAAGGAGGAGCAGATGGCTCCTTCGGAGGAGGAGGAGTCGGAGGGGGATGGGGGGGGAGAAGGAGGAGTAGGAAGGATGATGAGGAGGACGGACGAGGAGCAGGAGGATGCTCTATGCCGTCGCCAGCGTCGTCCGTCGTCGTCGTCTTCAGCGGCGGCGGCCGCCGCGTCCCAGTCCTGGCCCTTGTTGCCGCCCGTCGGCCGCTCGCCTGGGGGGGGGGCGAGAGAGCGGGAGGATGAGGGGGAGGAGGGGGCGGAGGGCGAGGAGGGAAGGGGGAAGAGAGACGGGGGAGGGAGCAGCGGAGCCGGGGTGGAGAGGGGAGCAGCAGGATGAGCCCGCGCCCCCATCCTCGGGGGCACCGATAGCGGGGGATAGGCATAAGGGGGGGGCGCATCGATCCCCAATGGCCCATTGATCGCCGATAGGGGCCCGATAGCCCCAACCCGCCCAGGAATGCGCGGATTCACTATCGGGGGCCTATCGCCGATCTATCGGCGATGTTTCGCCGATTCCAGGCCGATGCATCCCCCTTATGCCAGTCCCCCCCCTATCGTTGCCCCTCATGTCCTGTCAGGTCCACGGGATCCGCGTCGGCGCCAGGTCGGAGATCATCGTTCAGCCCGTATCATCGGGATCGCTGCACAGGAAGGTGGTCGGGGGGGGCCACTTGGTGGAGGGCGCGTACGACGCGTGGGACGAATGCGGCGAGACGAATACCCAAGTGAAGCTGAGCATCGAGGCAGGGCTCCCCGGCGTCGCGGAGATCGACGCCCGGTCCCCCCCCGACATTGTGAGGTGGTTCAAGGGCGAGGGCAACTTCCTCAACGATACGGTGTCGAAGACGTCCTTCATGGAAGGCTACAACATCGTGGACGATATCACCAAGAACTGGAAGGCGAGCAGGTCGGCCCCTGCGCAGCAGCAGGAGCGGACGTCTGCCGCGGCCGCGGCGGAGACCGAGGTGGAGGGCGGAGCGGCGGGCGCCTGTGCCACGGATGCTCGAGTCGATCATCAGCTCGTCGTCTTCGGAGGAGGTCTGGGCACGGAGCTGGTCCAGTTGGCGCATGCCGAGGTGGGGTCTGGCCAGGACGCCCATGCCCAGGCTTGGCAGAGGAGGCTGGCTGCGCCGATGGCGGCGGCGCCGTCGGCTAGCGCGGCCGGCAAAGGAGCGGCGTCGTCGTCGGCTGGCCCTGGCTACGAGAGGGCGTTCCATGACTGGATCAACCGCCACCACCCTGGCCTCTTCCCGAAGTTCTCCAGCTTTGACAATTGCAGGAAGGCGAAGAACAAGATCGCCAGGCTGGACCAGCTGGACGGCACCAAAGGTTTGTGGAAGAGGTTTACGGCAGACATGGACGCCAATTGCTGCTACTCGGACCCCAAGATCAACAACGCCAACGTATGGCACAACATCGAGGCGATCACGGCGACGTTCTGCAAACCCGACCTTGTCGCCAAGTATGACGGCCTCGATCGTTTCGCGCTCGAGGTCGGGCAGCGGCAATGGCCGAACGTGCGGGGCGGGGTGGGGGAGGGCCCTCCCCCCACCCCGCCCCTCCCCCACCCTCCCACCCCTCGCCCACCCCTCCCCTGGAGGGGTGGACTAGTCGACGAGGGGAGGGGGGTGATGGGGGGGAGAAGGTGTCGGCGGATGGGGGAGGGAGGAAGAGCGCGCACGTGGAGGGGGAGGAAGGAGACGAGGAGGGATGGGGTGTGGGATCCCGGGGATGACGGTTATGCTCCCCCTAGGTCGCCAAGTTTGCCGTGCCTCGCTCCGACGGCATCCCGTGGCTGCTGCAGGACACCAAGGACGCCATCAAAGTGAAGGCCTTGATGGTCCACGTCAAGGGGTCCAAGAGGATCGAGGCCGCCAAGCGGAGCTTGTTTGTGGACCAGGTTTCCAACCCTGCCCCTGCCAGTGGCGGTCGCGCCTGTGCCGCAGAGGCCGGAGAGGCAGACGCAGCGGGCGGCAAGAAGAGACGCAGGGGGCCCGGTCGCCCCACCAATCCTGCGGCTAAGCAACTGGCCGCGCCGAGGGCAGCCGACGACGACGTGCCAGATGAGGCCACGCCCGTCGCAGTGGACATCATGAACTCCATCGAGTCCGTCGTGGCCGAGTTCGACCGCGCGGTCGACTCGGCGGTGCTGCAGGCCCTGCATCTGTTCATCGAGTATGGGCTGAGCAAGTCCGTGGACCTCCCTGCCAACAAGTTCGGTGTTGGGCCACTCAAGAGGTTCACGCTCTGCCACAAGGTGCGCAAGCACATCATGAAGCTGCTGCGCGCCGCCCACGTGGACGCCAACC